TCAAGGTTTTATATATTTTTTTTTTTTTTTGTTCTTCTTCTTCTTCTTCTAGCAATGGTTGTTTTGAGCAACCTGGAACCAAATACAACTTATGAAATCAGGGTTGCAGCTGTAAATGGAAAGGGACAAGGAGACTACAGTAAAATAGAAATCTTCCAAACGTTACCAGTCCGTAAGTAATCATCTCTATTTTTTATTCTCTTTTGTCATTTTCTTTTCTTGCAAATGTAATAGATTTTAAAATGTAGGGAGATGTTTCAACACTTTTGGGACATGAATTGTGTCTTTGGTGAAGTGGTTTTTGAAGACAGTGACATCTCAGATTTATTAATATAAAAATAACTTTGCTTTAGAGTGAGGCAAAAAAAAAGAGTGCACTAGAATACACCCAGTAAAAATTGTTCCCGGGAAATTGTCCTCATTGCAAAAGTGATTAATTGGATTGTAGTCTTTGACTATATTCTGGGAGAGAGAAAAAAAAACGTCTACGTAACATGTTCAATATTTTGTTCTTTTGTGGAGGCCTGACTATTGACCTTGTTCCACAAATTATATGGGCTTTAAGTGTCAAAAAAGGAATTATTATGTTAATTCATTACAACAGTGACTGCAGGAGAAGACTTGTTCTGGTAACTATCATGTTTTGAGGAATTGTAAGTTAATTCAGTTTACATAAAGTGAAGATTAAATTTTAAAAGACTTAACATTTCCTTTATGTTAAATAAATTACTTTAAATGTTAGAAAACATAATAAATACGACCGAACCACTGTTATAAAAATCTATGCATAACACTGCCTGACATATATATATGTGTGTGTGTGTGTGTATGTGTATATATACATATATATACACACATATAAAGACAGTCAAAATGGCCACAATATATTATCTTATAGAGTGTCTCTCTGTTGGTAATCATAAAATCTGTCTGGTAAGTTTCTTTTCTCCATGCCCAATGCTAGTGGTTAAGATAACCTGCCCGATAGGGTGGCTTACACCTGTAATCCCAGCATTTTGGAAGGCTGAGGCAGGCAGATCACTGGAACCAAGAAGCTCAAGACCAGCCTGGGCAACACAGTAAAACCCTGTCTCTACAAAAAATAATAATAAAAAAAAAAATCAGCTGGGTGTGGTGGTATACACTTGTAGTCCCAGCTACTTGGGAGGCTGAGGTGAGAGGTGAGAAGATCACCCGAGTCTGGGGAGGTCAAGGCTGAAATGAGCCGTGATCACACTATGGAACTCCAGCCTGGGCGACAGAGTGAGACCCTGCCTCAGAAAAAGAATAAAGAAAATAAGAAAAGAAAAAAGAAATGACAAGATCCTGCTGAGAAGAAATAACAGGTCATTCTGGTTTAGAGATATGAAATCCTTTTCGGTCCATGGTCTTTGTTTTTCTTGGCCCTTCACATAGAAAATTATTGCACTTTGGTAGATCCCTGTTCTATTCAAAACAATATAAGCATCATTGTTATACGGCTATCTCTATGTTGAAGAAGAACATCCAAGGCAAGTATATGAATGAAACTAGAAGAAAATGAAATATTGAAACACAGGTCTGTAAAATTGGATACTGCAAATTTTATTCAAATTTGCACCCAGGAAGGAAAATGCTTATTAAAGCAGATTAACTAATTGCAAGTCAGTATCTTTCCTGGTAGGTATATATTCCATACAGATTAATGTGTTAATGTATTCTTATTAATAAATGCTTACAAAACACTTATAAACTAAATTTACATTAAGAGAATAAACATGATTTAACACTATTAATAATAAGAGAAATAAAGTTTTACATTTGTGCAATGCTGTACTTTTCTCAGAGTATTTGCATATCAGTGAAAATAACATACTTGGTCCTGAGGCCACAGTTTTGGCATGACACTTCTAGATTTATAATGTTGCTCCTTCTTGGATGGGGAAAATGAGGATCAGAAATTATAACACAAAAGGGCAATATCAAATGATAAATCCAGGATAACACCATATATTTTGATTACATTACTGTTCTTTTTATTAAAACATAGTTTCTCTAGGTATCTGAAATGTGTGCAAATGAAGAAATGTTGTATTGCATATCTAGGTGAGCCAAGTCCTCCATCCATACATGGACAGCCAAGCAGTGGAAAGAGCTTTAAACTCAGCATCACCAAACAGGACGATGGAGGGGCCCCTATTCTGGAATACATTGTGAAATACAGAAGTGTAAGTACCTTGTTTATTATCATATCATACTAGGTTTTTTCAAATTAAATTGAGTTGCACTGAATCTATAAACATATCAGGAGAGAATGTGTATTTAGTAATTGTGATAATAAGAGCTAATCTTCCTTCCATTCCTGATAGTCATCATTGTGATTTTTTAAAATTGTATTGTAAAATCTAAGCATGGATCGTCAAAATATTCTCATGGTTTTCATCTTGTGATTTTTAGGTGTGAAATGGGACTAGTAAACTTTTCAGAAATGAGATATTATTTCCCCTGTTTTGCTGAGAAGCTTCTCATTTTATCTGATATTAGTAACTTCAGGCTAAGCCCGTCAGTCATATGTTAGGTAGTATTATTAGAAAAATCACACCTCAAAATAAATTAATCAAAAAATTTGACTTATTTAGCCATAACGTTTAACAAAGAATGGCCACGGTGAACTTGAGGAAGAGGGAATCGTTTTCTTCAAGTTTAATTAGCGCTATCTAGTAAGGAAGTTTGGAGAGCTAAAAACTGCACACAGATTTTTGATAGCGGTTGGAGGGAAACAATATTCACTAGTTGCAGAGTCATAGAGTGGCACTATGGGCACTGCCTTTTTGCCTTCAGTAAAGATGATTTCAAAGGCCACTGAAAATAATTTCTTCAAATTTTTTTTCCATACGTACCTTGGAGTATTGGCGTCTACTGTAAAATATGTTAAAAATGAAACATGATTTTAAGTTAAATTTTCTAAGATTCATACAACATGCATTTTATGCTTATGTTGACTGAATCCATATTAGTGCTTTCCAAATTAATTATACTTTACCAGATTGTGTTTAAAATAATTGCTCCATAGTAGTGTATGGGTTAATTTTCAATATTTTCTCACAAATCCCAATTTTCTAAATTATAATATTGCTGCTTCTAAATTCAAACATCTACATTCTGAGGGGTAATAAAAAATAAAATTGGATTTTTGAATGGCATATTTTAATAATTAATTTTAGATATCAAATCATTTTTTAAAATTTTAAAAATTAATACTCCTTTCAGAGGACAAGTGTTTGTCCCAGCTTTCATACTCAAGTGAGTTCTCTTGGCCATTCTCATTTGCACATTTGGAAACTCGGTAGAAGGAAGATCATTTTTTCTAGGGATGTAGGCTTGGCCAGAATTCATGAATTGGACTGGTAGAACAGGCTTTCCGTGCAGATTGTTGCTCACAATTCTAGGATGAAAAAATTTATTGTACAAAATACTGGGGATAGTAACAGTTTGTAAGGAATTCTAATAAATCCCACAGTGGACTCTGAAATGCAATGACTAGTTGTGAAACAATGTGTTGTATATTTTTAATTGTACTATATTGTTAGTAGTGGCCCCAGTCATTGATGTAAACAAAAATATTTCTTGAGTAGCACTACATCTATTTAGAGCAAAGTAGAGTCACCAAATGGAAATAATGACATTTTAGACAGCCATATATTTATGTAGACATATACATAGTTTAAAACGTAAATTACTATTTTAAAAATCTGACTTCAAATTCGTATTGATTTCTTTAAATGTGGACTAGAATTAATATTTTTGAGAAGTTATGTGTGAAACACAGATGGATAGAAATAAGTAAGATTTTAAGCACAATAAGATTAGTAAGATTGAAGGGACTCAAGTTCATATAATGGTACTCAATAAATTTTACCTTTGCATATAGTTGGTAAGTTATAGTTGATATGGCTTAGTCATAAAGTTTAAACAAGAACAAATTTTGTCTCCAGTAAACTTACACCTTCCGTTTTCTCTCCTTTCTCTTTCTCCTCCCAACCTAATGGTAAATTTGCCTGGTTGGTTCCCATTTCCCCAATGTCTGCGCTTACCACTCCGATAAAAGTATGCCCTTTTCCCACCTCTTGTTTCTAATTTCCAACCCTTTCTAACTCCAGAAGTACTAGAGGATCTGTTTTTCATAACACATTGGAAATGATTGATTGTATTAGTTCATACATAACTATAATTGTCTGATCAATTACTAACTTATCCATCTTAGAGCTACTTTCATTTTAACAGGGGACATTGTTTTAATAGTAGAAATTTTGGCACCTATAACAAATTTTGTAAAAGGAGTGGTTCCATATCCTTTGTATTACAAGATAGGCATTGTTCACTCTTGGATATTTTGTATTTTGTAATTAATCAAATATAAAGTGATACTTTTTCACATTTTTTCAAGGACAACATTGAAAAATTTGAGTGGCTTGTATTCAAATAAAATGAGAAGCTTGTCAGCAAAACAGGAAAACTAGAGAATTTGAGTGACTTGGTGGGGAGAGGGAACAGACATCAGAATGTAATTCATAACGGTCTAAACATGGATGGCAGCAGTACTGGACAAGAGGCAACCCCTCTACCACTGTCTCATCTCAGATCAACTGCCCAGCTCCTAAGGCTTCAGACAGAGCCATCCTGGCACAGTTTCTCTTGACCATATCACTTGATAGTATGCTTTCTAGTTTCATCCATTAAAATATTCTATATATCCCTGTTTTGTCATCGTCTCTTCTCTTCTCCACCTCCTCCATCCTGTCAACATCGTGCTCTGAGGATCCAATTGCAGATACCATGATTGAATAAAAAGTGAAATAACTACTTCAAAAAAGTTCTTGATCATCTGTTCTTTTCATATGATATCTATTAGGTTCTCAAACTACATGAACTCTACAGTGTAGTAAAGTGCAACTGAATAACTTGAAAAATGGTTTAGACATATTCAATATATTTTTAATAAAAAATGAAGAAAAAAGTACATAGAGGAATCTGGAAAATAAGGAACATCTCTAAGATTTTCACTTCTTGATTTTCTTCTTTGGCCACCTCTTTCAACTCCACTGTGCACAGGGCTATATTCTGAGAACAATGTATTTCTGACAATATATTCCTTATATGACTTGATTTCTAGCAAACACTGAATCTAAGCCTTTAATTTGGGTTTCACTGGGAAAGGACAAGAATAGCTATATCCTACTATAGAAAGTGTAAAACTTCCCGTAGATTATGAACCAGGAAGCACCATTATTCTGTCAACCTGTAATACAGCACATGGCTTTGTTCACTCACCCATTTTGAAGACAGAATTTATTAGAACAGAACTAGAGTAATAAAAGCAGAATTAGATATCTCTGTGGACTCTTCATGAAAATTAATGTCTCTAACAATAAATCAGTAAGTTTAAACCATGCGTTTGGAAAGTAAAGACAAACATATTAATCTCATGAAATGTTTGGAAAAAATCATGAAGTTATTTTTAAGTCTACTTTGTACTTATAGTGTCAATCTAACTTCATATAATTTAGTAAATAGATTTTTACATGCTTCCATGAGCTTTTCACCATTTTATTTCTAATTTGATGATAGCTATGGGATCATACCTATCACTTAGTGTTGGCATATTAAATACGTTTCCTTAGCTAAAATAATTGGTAGCTAAAATCAATTGTGAGGAAGTACTATAGGGACTAGCATTTGTAAGTCTTAATTGAACTTTTTAAGTAATTTGGAGTCCAGGAGGTTGTACACTATCTCAATGTCCACAGGATAAGAAAGGTAATTTTGAAAAGGGCATTAAAATAATAAATAAGTAAAATGAAGCTTTGGTTCTTAAGAAAACATATTTTCCAGTTAATAATGTTTATGTATGTACATGGAAATGTATTTAAAGCCATTATAGTTTAAGTTTTGAAGTATTTTTAAACAATAAATACTTATGGACATTAAAGAGTATCAAGCATTTTAGTAGTTTTTCTTTGCTGTGAGTTAAGAGAATGAGTTTTGTTTTTGCTTGTATGTATACGTTATCTGAATGAACAAATACAGCAATAAATCAATAAATAAATTAGCTCATTATGTAATTATAACTATATTATAAATAGTATTATAAATCGAATAATTAATATGGGAGACAAGAAACACAAGAAAAAATGCACTGCCAATGTTTATAGGTATGAGAACACAGAAAGTAATGAATAGGAAAAATTAGATTTATTTTGCCTTAAGTACTATGTGGGTGGTGGAGACTAGGAACAGATTATGTAGGACCTATTTTAAAAAAAAATTTACCAAGCATCAGCACATGGAACAAAGGCAAGTAGAATTTGTTATGATCATGGAAAAAAGAGATTTAAATTTAGAACTGCTAAAATCTTCAAACCTTTAAATCTTCCAAATGTGTGTGTGTGGTGTATATATATATGGTGTGTGTATATATATGGTATATATATATACACCACACACACACATTTGGATATATATAAAATTTTGTATACAATTTGATGTTTTAAGCTGAAGATTAATATCTTTATCAAAGGACAACTTTTTGTCCCAGGTTCCATGCTAACAATGATGAGTACCTGTTTGTTTCTTTTGGATATTCTGATATGGAGATTTTTGTGCCTCTACCCAGGACAGCTCTGAAGGACTCACTGGTCTCTCGATGAACCTGACAGTGCCATGCTATTCAAGCCAGGTCCCTTGGCCCTTCTCGTTTGCCCATTTGTACTCTTCTTGAATTCTGTAAACGGTCTCTCTCTCTGTGTGTATGTGTGTATATATGTATATGTACACATATACACATATGTGTATATGTATATATATATTAATATATGCTTGTCTATATATGCAATTATATATATAAGGTATATGTGTAGATATATATTTTTTATATATATAAAATCCAGATTGATCAATCACCTCTCTGACATTCAGAGTAGCAAATGGAGTTTTAAATGCTATCTGGGCCTTCTGTGAGGTCATGTAAGTATGAATACCTGAACCATGCTACCAGGGAATCCAGGAACCGGGACCTGCTTTATATACATACAAAATCTTAAATCATACGACATGGGAGTCAGAGGAATCTATGCTTCATCTCGCTTATATGAGCTCACCTTCTCTATTGTCCTCTCATTTTAAAATTATTCAGTTTATATTTAAAATGATTTTGGTGATACACTTCATGAGACTTCAAAAGGAGTCTGTAAACTGTTTCTTGTTATGAATAAAAGCATCAAGGAGCCCCTGAAAATAAGAAAATAGAGACCCTTACACCTTGCCTCTAATCTCCTCCCTGTACAGATGATAGCCAATATTTTCCTAGATGCTGATAGTATGACTTCAGAATCACTATTAAGAAGTGCCCTGAATTGCCATGTGGCCCGCTATTTTCTGACAAAAAAAAAAAAAAAAGAAGAAGAATTGCTTAAGAGAAGCTATACCAAAGCCAAATGACCATTTTTTTTCAGTAGCTGCCCTTCAGCATTTAATTGGCTTATTAATAATGGCCGTATTCAGCAAATCATCTCATTAAGTTACCTAGGGGAACGTTTTGCAACTAGATTATCTTAAATTGTTCCCTAGGCATTTAAACTTTGTAAATTAGACAGTCTACAGATATGCATACTTGAGATTTTGATGCCAGGGGAGTATTTGGTAACACCCACTTTAATTTTTTTCCTATTCCCTAGGAATAGCAATTAGGGGATTAAAATGCCTTCTTGCCTAATGTTGAAAGGAAAATGAAACTGATTTATATTGGGAGCATGTTAGAGCTCCCTTTGGTTTCTTATACTATCAGCCCAAATACTTAGAATGATGGAGGGCCCTTTAATTTATCATCTTACGGGCTTCAACAATTAAGAGCTAAATGATTGTTAATTTACAAGAGACTGTCTTGTGTTTGTACAGAAGTTTCACCTTAAATGCCTAATTTCCAAAAATGATATTTTTGAAGTATTACCTGAAGGACATGACATCTATATCCTCTAAAGAATACATTTTTTTTTTTGGCCTGGAGTAATTCATATCTCAGTTTTTGGCTTATTTTCTGGCTCTTTCACCCACATCTTCACTCAGATACAAAGCAAAACTGAATTCCAAGTATTTCCACGAAAATACTTACTCACATCAACCACTTCATCGTTACATAGAAAGTACTGAATAACTGAGGTAATGCCAGGGCCACAGGGACATGCAGCTGTCTGCTGCCTCATGGATCCCTTGTCTTCATACCACCCTTCCGTGTCCTTGCCATACACCCCTTCCTTGCCATATATGTGTGTGTATATACACAATTTATAACTTATAAAAATACATGCTATAGGTTTATATGTGCATATTCATACTGAATATGCTATAGGTAGCATATACAATTATATGTTACGTTTGTGTGTGTATATACATATACACATACATCTAATGTATCATCTCAAATTACTTTTGGGTTAACTTTTTAGGCTTTTTTGTTATATATAAGTATATATAACACATATATAATACATTATAATGCATATATAATGCACATATAGATACACAATTTTTAAAAATTTATTTGAAACAACTACAGTGTTTGCTTATACATCTCTCAGTGATTATGCATCTAAGGCTTAAAATCGTTGTGTTTCTTTTTGGATTTAAAGCTGTGTAAAAAACTGACACCTTCTTGTCATTAACTCAGGATAAATGAAAAGAAAAATGGCGCTAGCATGTATTATTTCCAGTAAGGGTGATATCACCTCCCCACCGGTGACCTGCCTAGCCCTTGACTTTATTAGGTATTATGTGCCTCCATTGCACCTTCTCATTTTTCAAAGGCCTCATGTCTTTCTTCTGGGCTGGTTTGTAAACTCCAACATGAGGGTACTGCACATGTCTTGGTCACTTGTGTTCACGCCTTCTAGAAAGTCCTCACTAATCAATTAACTGAGTAAATGATTGATGAATGAGTGGGCGAAGACAGAGGGTGTTGTGATAGCTGTGGCTTTTTAGCATAGCTGCCCTAAGCATTTCAAAATTGCAACTAGGTTTGTTTCTCAACCTTACTGTTCATTGATAAACTTAGAAAAGTTACAACCTCTCTTCTCAGTTATTCCATCATTCGTACACCTCATAATATCTTAAGCAGTACTGGCTACAGGCCATTTTTATAAAAACAGATATTCAAAAGTTTCAAAAATCAAGGCAAGTGCCTCTTGCGTATATTGATAACCTGTACTGCTTGTTCATTTAAAACCAGGGCTTCGTTAGGGGTTCTAATAGCTTCAGTTTTACATGAAATAGCAAAATGGGCCAAACTTTTCTGTTCCTTTGTAATGGAAGTTCTACATCACCAAGAAGTTTATTTCCTTTGTAATGAAAGTTCTATGTCACCAAAGAAATAATTAACTAGAAAAGGAGAATAATAGTGTGGTATCAAAATTATAGTATCTTCTTGCCTCCTTCTGAAGGACACTCCATGTTTGAGTACTGTCCATTGAATGCGATCATGAATTTAACTTTCACAATTTTATTTTAGAGAACAAATAAGTGTCATCAAAAATGGAGAAAACATTGTGTTTTTTGTAGTCAAAAAAGCAGTGTGAAGTTTTGGCTCAACATAGAATAATATAGGACTGAGCTATGAGGTTAAAAGACATGTCTGCATCTGTTGTTCTAGACAGGCTGTAATTTATCTATACTTATACCCTGGGAAAGTACGATTTGCAGTTGCAACGATAGATTATTGGATACATGATTCCAGAGAAAATGTTTCATTTCCATACAGTTTTTATGGAACCAGTTATATCCTAAAATAGCTGTGATTTGTTTAAGTGGTTATGATCTCTAAGGCCCTGAAATACACAACCTACTCAATTTTCCTCATTGCTCTCCCAAAAAGCTGACAGAAGCAGCTGCTACTATCCCTTTTGTTATAAAGAGGAGGAAGACAAGCCAGAGAGGTTAAGGAAGCCTTCTGTGTTGAAATTGTTAATGTATGGCCCAACCCAGTAATCGCTCTGTTTCAGAAAATTTCATTTATAAAATTATATCCATTTATATTTCATGAGTAATTGTAGTTCTAATGGTAATTTTATCAAGCAAAGGGAAATTCAAATGTCATATGGTCAAATTTATATTTTAGAAAAGCAGCGAGATAGTATTTAAGTGTAGAATGTTTGAGAATAGGATGGCATTGTTTTATTTTCTTTTGCTAATGATATATTTAAAACTTAGTAATTTTCTTTGTATATTATTTTCTTATGTCATAAAACATGATAGTAGTAAAAAATACCAGTGATAATTTAAATCTATCAATCATATCCAGACTTTATTTCAAGACACTTTATCTTTCTTCCCCCCAAAAAACTTTAACAATAGTCCCTGGCAATTCTTTTAAAGGACATATTAAGTTTTTTCTGTATATCATGTTTCATTTTCCCATTCACATAAAGATTAATAATCAACAAAATGGCCAAAAAGCAAACTGCTATATGTGAAATAAAAAAATCTTAATGGAGGTCAATTGTCAACCACTGAACAAAGGATGAATTACAAAACCACTTTTTGGCTAATACAAACAACATCGTATTTTATATAGAAAAATGTTAGAAATAATACTGACTTCATTGACACAGCAACTTCATGTATTTCTGTGCCTATCAAACTTGTTCCAGTATCCAAAATAAGTATATTGTTCCAATTCCAATATAAATTATTTTTCTAAAAAGGTGCAACTTTAGTGTATGGATATTTACAAAATGCATTTTTATTGCTTTCACAGAAAGATAAGGAAGACCAATGGCTAGAGAAAAAAGTACAGGGAAATAAAGACCACATCATTTTGGAGCATCTCCAGTGGACCATGGGGTATGAAGTTCAGATTACAGCTGCCAATAGGTTGGGATATTCCGAACCAACAGTTTATGAATTCAGCATGCCACCAAAGCCCAACATTATTAAAGGTAAGCAAAGCTATATTCTTTTTAGACTGAGCAATAAACATGATACCACCTTTTTATAACCCTTACTGACTTTTCTTATTAATAATTAAAACCAACTGAAATGTAAATTCCAGGTTCTAATTATTAGTGTGACGTATCATACACAAAGTTTCTCATCGCTCTTGCCATAGGGTAGTGCTTAATTTGCAAATGTATTTTGACCCCATTCATAGCTGGAGCAGTGGGGAACGAATGAATAGGAGAACATAGAGAGTAAGAGTGACTGATGATAGTCAATGTGAAAAGTGTCTATTGAGACCATATGAAAGCTTTAACTAAGAAGAAAATTTCTCTGCCAATCATGTGGAGACTGGTGCTCCAATTCTTGTTAGATTTGAGCCAACCTGTGCCTGACCAAGCAGGTTGATTTTGGAAACATAAAATTAGTCACAAAGAAAGGCAGGAACAGCCACAAATATAATTCCATAAAGACCTATACCTAGAGTTTTAAGAAGGCTCATAAAATCGAAGAACACTGTAAATCAGCTTTTGCAACACACTGGTTAGATTCTACCATTGATAGGTAACAACACTTACATTGTTACATCTTAGTATGTTAGTAACATTATGAAAGTTCACAACAGGGATATTAAACTTTTATTCAGATGAATGCTCTTGAAGTAAAGATAAAAAATTTATTCTGACTCAAAATAACACTTAACTCTGTTCATGAGTTGCCAAATTGTTCATATTTCTACGTTTATTTTCCCTGTTATTACTTTTAATATTTTAATTTTATGCAAACATGTACAGATATTTATGTATCTATAGTATATTCTTTATTTGTACATATATGCAGAAAAGAGCAGCATATTAATCCATGAAACCAAGATTTATTTGTCTTATTATATTAGAGTATAAGTATAGATATATAATATTTTTGAAACGGGAAAAAAAATAAAACTAGCTAGTTCAATCATGTTATTAAACCCTCTTGTAATTTCAAATTGATGTTAATTTTATATATTATGATTTTGTTATATCATACATCAGTTGTTTAGTAATTGAAAGCAGTTTTATATGACTAATCTTTTAATTAAAAAGTAATTACCATTGGTTATAAGGTTTAAAAGTAATTGATATTAGAGCTTTGTATTGCTAATATTAATTCATAAATTCTACCAAATTATAATTTAAAATTAGGAAGTAAAAAGTCTCTGGAAATAACATGGGTATCTTATATTTTAATGACTTTTTTATTATTTTCAAAGCACTTCCGCATTAATTATCTCATTTTATTCTTAAATCTGAGCTGGATAAGGAAGCATTATTCTCATTTTACAAATATGATTTTAAGAGGTTGAATGACATGTTTGAGGCCAGAAATACTTCTAGTTATATGACAAATCTGATGCCCTTACAAGATAACACATCTAAATAAGAATGACTGAATGTACAATCGAGTTCATTACATCTCTATATTTGAAACATCAGAAACTACTTCTACAATTGTAATGAGTATGTAAGTAGTAATTATATTTCATGCAAATATCAGGAACATGCTATACATGTTCCCATACTGAGCCAGAGCCTCCTCCAAAGGAAAATTGCAACAGTATACTACAATCTCCCACATTTTTAATTTAGTGTATATATTTGAAAACATAATGAATTAACTTAATTCATTTAATTTAATAATGCATTAAATTTAATATTATATGAAGTAGATAACATAGATAAAACATGAAATCAAAAGATAGATTTTACACAGATTACTAAATGTTACACCGCCAGTGACTCTGCTATCTTTATGAGAAAATGTTGGTCCAGGGCGCGGTGGCTCACACCTGTAATCCCAGCACTTTGGGAGGCCGAGGCAGGTGTATCGTGAGGTCAGAAGATGGAGACCATCCTGGCTAACACGGTGAAACCCCGTATCTACTGAAAATACAAAAAACTAGCCGGGCGTGGTGGCGTTGCCTGTAGTCCCAGCTACTCGGGAGGCTGAGGCAGGAGAATGGCGGGAACCCGGGAGGCGGAGCTTGCAGTGAGCCGAGATGGCGCCACTGCGCTCCAGCCTGGGGGACAGAGCCAGACTCCGTCTCAAAAAAAAAAAAAAAATAATAATAATTGTTGATGATAAAAAACCAACAATACATATAAAAAAAAGGTGGAAAAAGTTAAAAGGTAATAAAAACAGATATGAAGGCACCAAAGTAACCAAGACATGCTGTGATTCATTTGCTCTCTCTCTCTCTATATATATTTTTTTCAATTTGAGAAACTCGTGTCCTGAGAGCTTGTAGGCAAGACCTGGAAAGAAAGTAGACAGAATTCTGGTTTATATTCCCAGATTTGTTTCTGTCACATAACTTGTCAAAATAACTGTTTCCTCATCTCTAAAATGAGTTTCTTCTGGTTCTGCAATGTTAAGATGTGTTTGTTAATTTAAGAATTGTTTATTGAAGTACTTCTTTGTGACAAACGCTTGAATGAGTACAAAGGATTTAAGGATTTATCTGTGAAAAATACAGAACTGACCCCTGTCCCCCAAAATCTCCACAATCTATTAGGGAAAGACAGATATTCAACATGAGTTAGAATAACAAATAACTGCAACTAAGAGAGATTTTTCTTAGAAAGTGAGTTTCCAAAGGAAACGTGCAGGAATGAACTTTCCAGGGAAAATGTGTTACATGGAAGGTATCTCTGAGACAAGAAAGAGCATGATCTGATCTAGGAGCTGGGAAAGGCACGTCTGGAAGAGAACCTGGAAGTGTGTGACTGAAGATAAGGTCAGAGAGGGAATGCAAACCAGATAATTCAAGGGCTTCTAAAAACATAATTGTAAAACATCTTCCAAAAGGAGTAAATAATTGTAAGCAGAAAAGTTGTATGAAAAGATAGGTATTATAAATAGATTATTATTTCTCATATGGGTAAGAGCAACTGATGGATGAACAGCGGTAGAAAAAAAAGAGAGAACGAAAAAATTCCCGACACATTGCAAGTGTAGACTAATCCTCCCATTGCAATAGATTGAATTCAGTCAGTAATGACTTTTAGGTTCCTTGCTTGGGCACCTACAGCATTGCTGATGTCATTTCTCAAGGTGAAGAATTTTGTAGGAGAAGCAAGATTTGAAGAATGAGGGTCAAACATCAGATCCATTTGGTATTTGTTAAATTTGAAATATCAAATTGTTGGTTAGATATGTGGGTATGGAAATGAGAAGATAACCATGGCTTGGAAACATACCCCATGATGCTGTCAGTGTTAACAGGTGAATGGTATTTGAGTGAGGATAAACCCATCTAAGCAGTGCCTAAAATCTCTGAAGAGGGGTTGATGTCTGTAGTACTCATTTATGTTTGCTAGTAACTAGAAGGGTGACTGGCACAGCATTGATTTCCAAAGAATATTTCTCGAATTACTGAAGAGTAGAAAGAAGTTAAGAACTGAGTCCCAAGGAACTGTAATATTATACTGGAAGAAGAAACCAGACCACTCCACCCCCCATCATGAGACTAACACTTTACAGACTTACTGGCAAAACACGAGCGTAGTATCTTGGAAGTTAAAAAAGGGTCATATTTCAAAAAGAATACATGTAAAGTGTCCAATGCTGCCAAAAGGTGAATGCACTGAACCAGAACAGATGTGAAGTATCCCTATCACATGCTGCTTTGCTGACGTCATTGGGAGAGAAATTAGGTACAAGTGGGCAGAGGATTGTATGTGAGGTTAGGGAGTTTAGACTCCATATTTATTTAATGCTTTCAGGAAGTTTTTCTAAGGTGAGCAGAGGTGGGAGGTGGAGAAAGGCCAGTGTTAGAAGGTCTTTTATGATGAAAAATGCTAGATGAAACAAATCAAGTAGTCATGGAGAAATCACACCTACAGACACACAGACAAAGTCATCTGAGAAGGTAGGAGATGGTATTCACCCCTCGAAACTATGCAGCTGATACAAAGCCAACACAACTTATCAAAACGGGGAAAATGAAGTATTTATTTTATTTGTAAAAATGTCACATATTCGGCAGGGCGCGATGGCTCACACCTATAATCCCAGCACTTTGGGAAGCCCAGGCAGGTGGATCACAAGGTCAGGAGTTTGAGAGCAGCCTGGATAACATAGTGAAACCCTGTCTCTAGTAAAAATACAAAAATTAACTGGGCATGGTGACACACGCCTGTAATCCCAGCTACTCAGGAGGCTGCGACAGGAGAACTGCTTGCACCCAGGAGGTGGAGGTTGCAATGAGCCTAGATCACGCCATTGCACTCCAGCCTGGGTGACAGAACAAGACTCCATCTTGAAAAAAAAAAAAGTTATAAAATCATGTCTAATTTACTGTTACTGACACCAGCTTGCTAAGGCCTCTTGGAAAGTCATATCAGAAACAAACCATAAATTAAGAATTGTTTGATTTAGATCTAGATTTTGTGAGGCAACTTTAAAGGCTGTAATGATGGGGAATTTGGGAACCTTTCAAATCTTATGGCGTTAACATTATATATTTGCAAAATATGAAAAAAAGATCATATAATTTTATATTATTTTATTTTTCATTTTAAAATAAAATATAAATTCAAACATATTAGAAATAAGTTACCTATAATAAACTAGCACATCTTAAGTCTTTTCATTTAAGTTAGAGAAGATATAGAGTTCAAAGGTTAGTGTGGTTTTAATTTATTTTTGTATTTCATGCATTGTAGACTGTCAAAATAAGTTTTCTGGAATTTCGAATTTAAAAACCCATTACTTATGTGCATTAGGTATATTTAACTTTTTGTAAACAATAGGCTAAGTCTAGAGAACATTTACTTGTTGGACTAAAGCACTATTTTTTCTTTTTTTTCCCACCTACTCCCTTTACATTCATATAAAATATTACATTGATAATAATTTTTCTTGTAAGTATGCTACTGGAGACTACATTTCTTATTAGTTTATAATTGCTTTTTTAAAATTTTGTAATTATTAATATTTTTCATTTTTTAGTTCTTATTAA